CCTCTCCTCCCCTCCCCTCTCCTCCCCTCTGCTCTTCTCTTCTTTTTTTCCAGAGCTGAGGACCGAATCCAGAGCTTTGTGCTTGCTAGGCAAGTGCTCTACCACTGAGCTAAATCCCCAACCCTGTTATTTTGTTTTCTTGAGATAGCATCTCACACTGTAGCTGAGGATCATGTGGAACTCATTACTTTAGTTCAGGTTGGCCTCTAAATCCTAACAACCCTCCTGCTTTAACCTTACAAGCACAGGTATTATTATTTTTTTGGTTTTTTGAGACAGGGTTTCTCTGTGTAGCCCTGGCTGTCCTGGAACTCACTCTATACACCAGGCTAGCCTCGAACTCAGAAATCCGCCTATCTCTGCCTCCCAAGTGCTGGGATTAAAGGCGTGTGCCACCACCGCCCGGCTAAGCACAGGTATTATAAACCCATGCTGAGAATTTGATTCAAGTCTTGATGGAAAGATAAAACTTCACTGATTGGCAATGGTGGAATGAATGAAGATGCCATTTCCATGGGGATTAGAAAATGACGGATAAAGAAAGATACTTTGACATCAAGTCTGACTCTAATGGAGGAGTCCTGGGGCTTGTTGGAATTGATCATCAATGCTCAAAAGACCGTTGTCAAAAAGGCCTTGGTCAAAAGACCCAGTAACTGGATTATATAGGGAATCTTGGGGTCAGATAGGATTGAGAAGCTGAGCATTGATTTGGATGGAGAATTTAGAGGCTAGCTGGAGGTAAATGACTGGTTACATGTGTGTGGGTGGTGGTGGTGGTGAGAGTTGAATTCCAAGGACTGCCTGGAATAGGGAACTATAGACTGGGTGGGCTGGAGGATCACAAGGTTAGAGAAACACAAGAAGTACAGAGACGGTATAATGGTCTATAGACTTTGACTAGTTGTAATGAAAAATCAAGAGATTGTCATGGAGCTGGAAGGAGATCATCTGAAACAAGAAGCCAGCTGGGATAGGGAATGGGATATTGAATGGAGTTGGCAGACTGAGGGATTGGAAGTCTGAGTTGGCTGAGTCTGGAGACTGCCTGGGCTGGGTGTTTTGACGGCTTGGGTCTTGGGCCTGTTGGACAAGTGCATGTTAGAATAGGTTGGGGGACTTCATTAGACTGTTAGGTGTAGACCCCGGGACAGCTGGAATGGAGATACCTCCTGCAGGCTGAGCTAAGGCTGGCATCCAGCTGAGGTGCCAGTGCCTTGGGGCTGGTCCAGCTAGGGTGCTGGTGGCTACTGCAGGTGGGGCGCGCGGGGGCGGGTCGGGAGAGCTGGGTGGGGGCAGGGGCGGGGGGCGGGCCGGCGGCCGGGGCGGTCCCGCGCGGCCGCGCTGCGCAGTGACTCCGCAGCGGGCGGAGCGCCGTGGGCCGCGTCCTTCCCAGCCCTGGCGGTGGCGGTGGCGGTGGCGGCGGCGGCAGCGGTAGCCTCAGCTCCTGCGCCCCGTACCGCCAGCCCCAGCGCTGTCTCCCGGGCCCCCTAGGGCCCCCGGGCCCCCGAGCCCGGTGCGCGCCCTTGCGTCCCGCCGGCCCCCTCCCCCGGCTGGGCCCGGGGGAGGGTGGCGCCGTGAGCGAGCGGGGACTGGGCTCTCCTGCCCGTTCCCCTGTCCCTGGGCCGCCAGAATGGAGGCGGGGTCCGGTCCCCCGGGTGGCCCGGGATCTGAGAGCCCCAACCGGGCGGTGGAGTACCTGCTGGAGCTGAACAACATCATCGAGAGTCAGCAGCAGCTGTTGGAGACCCAGCGGCGGCGCATAGAAGAGCTGGAGGGCCAGTTGGACCAGCTCACCCAGGAGAACCGCGACCTGCGGGAGGAGAGCCAGCTGCACCGTGGGGAACTGCACCGGGACCCCCTTGGCGCGCGGGATAGTCCTGGCCGCGAGAGCCAGTACCAGAACCTGCGTGAGACCCAGTTCCACCACCGCGAGCTGCGAGAGAGCCAGTTCCACCAGGCGTCCCGGGACGTGGGCTACCCGAACCGGGATGGCGCTTACCAGAACCGGGAAGCTATCTATCGGGATAAGGAGCGAGAAGCCTCCTATCAGCTCCAGGACACTACCGGTTACACAGCCCGCGAGCGCGACGTAGCCCAGTGCCACCTGCACCATGAGAACCCAGCCCTGGGTCGCGAGCGTGGCGGGAGGGAGGCTGGGCCAGCGCACCCGGGCCGAGAGAAGGAAGCCGGCTATTCCGCGGCGGTGGGCGTGGGGCAGCGGCCGCCGCGGGAGCGGGGCCAGTTGAGCCGTGGCGCATCCAGAAGCTCCAGCCCTGGCGCGGGCGGAGGTCACAGCACCAGTACCAGCACCAGCCCAGCTACAACCCTCCAGAGAAAGTAAGAAATGTGTTTGCAGCCCCCACCCCACCCATCCCTTCTCCTCTAGATCCCTCTCCAACTTAGCTGGCAGATAAAGTATATGAAGCCCATGCCTGATCCCATTTCCTGCTTCGCCTGTCCCAACCGGGAGAAGGTTCTCCTCAGCCAGCTGACATGCTTTCCCTAGCCACCACACATTGGTTTGGTCAGATGAGTGCTGGCTGCTGCTGCTTCTTTTTTTTTTTTTTTTTTTCTCCCCTGTAGAACCAAGGCCAGTTAGAGACTGAAGCAATCCCTACTACCTCCCTCCACTTCTTCAGCCCCTAGCTGTATCCTTTCCAGAGGATGGATTAAATTTTTAGACAGAGGTGGTATCAACTCAAAACCCCCAAAGAGAGAAACACTCCTACACACCTTTTTTGGGGGGAGGGGAGTGATCTTGTCTCGAGGCAGGTGGGGACCAGAATGGTTTCTGGCTGCTTAGACATCCCTCTGAGGGAAACTGCAGCACATCTTGGCATGGGGAGGGGGGGTGATGGTGGCAAAGATGGGGGAGCAAAGATGGAGGCTAGGCCCTCGGTTAGTTTCTCAAAGTCCAGCTGGTCTCCACCCTTCAAGAAAAACAACACCCATTTAAAGAGCCCTACCAGGAAGGGAAGTCCATAGATCTCCCATCTGTTGGATCAGCTTCAGTTCCTGTGTTGGGGTCTGTACATGTGTCTGAGACAGGTTAGGAAATTTTCTGAGTTGATGGGACATGAACAGGGTCTACTTTACCCATGTAGATCCTATTGTGTGATGGTTGGGACAAATGTATTAGTCTGTGAGTCAAGGGCACGAAGGCTCACAGGGATACCCTAAAGGCCCTCCTATTGCTTTGCTGCTATACTAAAGAACACTGAACTGGGAGATGGGAGAACTGGGTTCCCCTTCCAGCTCTGTTGCAGATTGGCTTTGTGACCTTGACTGAGTCCCTTCTTCTGTCAGTCCATCATTTCCCCTATATTTTTTTTTAAAGGCAGGGACTGCCAACTGAGATTCAATGGGTATATTACTAACCCAGCCACACCAAAGAGCAAGTCTGAAGTCCTTTAGCAAATGGACAGGCTTCCCCCTCCTCTCACTGCTCAGCTGGTCCTACCATGTGCCACAACTAGTGGAGTGTCTCTTGGAGGCTGGGCTGGGGGTGGGGAAGCCTTCTGCCTCAGGAAATCTGCCGGGAGACAGCTCTCTGCAACTCCCCCATGGTGAGGCAGCAGGCTGGGGTGCTGGGTTGAGATGGCTGGGCCCCAGGAGCAGCAGCTGCAGCTTGAGGGCTTGGCTGGGCTCCACTGCAGTGCACCCTCAGCTGAGTGTTGGGATGGAGGGACAGCCCCAGAATGAGGGGCAGAGAAAGACTGGATGGGGCATTGTGGTCCTTGAGACTGGTTGCAGACTTCTCTAGAGGGATCAGGCCTGTGATGGAAGGAGCAACCTCAATATGTATGGCTCCAGGGAGCAAATTCAGGAACAGAGGGAACATTTGAGATAAAATCAAGAGAACTTTTCAACCTAGCCAGTTGTGATGCAGTACATTGCCTCAAGGGATGGGGGTGGTGGCTGGCCCGACTGGTCCAGTCGAAGTCTAAAGGGGGTCTAAGAGCTGGAGGAAGCATATAGTTCCTGATTTGGGCATTAAGCCCAGTGAAAGGACCTGAATCTTTCTCAATTTCAGAATTCCATTGCTCTCAGATTCTCCACCCTGCAGACATAGGTCTGAATTTCTTGGCTGGCTGGAAGCCCATTTGCCCTTCTGCCATCCTTGCGGGCCTGCTTCTGACTCCTTCCTTCTTTTTGTACACTTTCCAGGTTGCTTGTTGGAATCCCTTGCATCACATTTCCCACTGCCTAATAAAGAGGTTTAAATAGCACTTTGGATTTCTCTCAACCATATATTAACTGCTTGCCTATCTATGATTGCTTCCTTTGGACTTCACAGCCAAGCCCACTCAGTGAGCATCAGCAACTCCATTTTAAAGAGGGAGAAACTGAGGCTTCAAGATGAAGGGGCCTTATTCAAGGTTATGCTACTAGTTGCTAATGGAGCTGGGACTAGAATCTAAATCTGCCTGTCTTAAAGGCATGTTACTTGTTCCCTACAGCTTAACTATCCCTAGGAGTCTTGGCCTCAGGACCTGCTGAGGTACTGAACTGGGAAAAGCCAAAAGAGCCTTAGGTATCTCCAGGTTTTGAACTAGAAGAGATGGGTCTGGAATGAGTGGAGGAGTTGATGAGGAGAAAAGACAGCTGTCTTTCTCTTTCCCACCTTCCTCCTTGCCAGGTGTCAGGAGAACCTGTAGCCATTGCTGTAACCAGTGCTGCTGCAAGCGACTCCCCTGCTAGGCCTGTTCTGGGTTTGTAAGGAGTGGGTGAGAAGGCTGCTGTTGGAAGCGCGGGCAGGCAGGGTGGGAGTTCAGCAGCTGAGGCTGCAGCATTGGGGGAGGACAGGCAGAGCTGGTACAGGCTGGGCTCTGTTGGGCCCCAGGCTCCCTCTGGTGGACAGACTAGGAAGAAAGACTAAGGCCTGGGTCAAGATGTAGCTTATTGGGAGCCTGTTCTGCCTCAGACTCAGTTCTCCCAACAACCCTGTGTGCATCTGTCACTACCATCATGTCACAGCATAAGAAACCTAGGGCTCTGAGACATGATGTCCATCAGAGGTCATGCTACTAACACAACATGCGCCTGTTCCTGTGAACTTGGCCTTCTTTGCTTTGGGCATCACCCATCCATGTCCAGATCATTTACCCAGGACTCCCACATCCTTCCCTACTGCTTTTCTGGACAGGTTCCAGGAAGCCAGAATCTCTGCTGCCAGGCTCTGGGTGTGGTCTTCCTAGTGTGACAGAAAGCAACATGAGTCCCTACCTCCTTCTTCTGGTCACTGGTACATGAGGATTTAGTTATTTGCTTACTAGTTGTTGATCCTGACTAATGCTCAGATCTTTTTATGTGGAGCTGTCACCTCCTGCCATGATTTAAAAAGAGATTTTTTTGGTTGTTAAGCTTGGTCTCTCCCCCCCCCCCCTACACACACACACACACACACACACACACACACACACACACACACACTGCAGTTCTGGCACCTAGAATGATTTATAGAGGCTAGGACCCACTGCTGAGTGCCCCATGCTGAAGAGAGCTCTGTTCCTACATTTTCTGCATGGGCCTAGCTCTACTGTATGCAGTGGTGGGCTGAAGCCAGTATGGTGGGGTGGTAACTGTCTATCCTCTGCTCCCTCCTCCCTCCACCCACCTCCCCATGCAGGCTGGCTCACATTTAGATACTGAACCTAGAGAACGCCAGCATGGTGTTCTTGATACCCAGGGCAATGCATGGTCTACCACTTCACTGCTGAACTATCATCTTCTGCGTGTGGTGGGGTGTCAGCCTGCCCTCCATAGGGGCCCAGGCCACTGACAAAATGAACAAGTGAGAGCCATCCCAGGGAGAGGCTCTGGGGGAAGTCTGGTTCTTTGGCGTGCTGGATTCTTTTTCTAGGGTATCTCTCTTTCCTTTCAGGAGGGAAACTATTTATTGTCCCCTCTGCCGTGTTGTGAGCATTATGCTCGTATGGAAGAAAATGATAATGCTAAGTTTAAGGAGAATTGGGAGTCTTGCTTTCTCTGTCTAGATCTGGGACAAGAATGGGGTTGTTGTCATCCACAAATATTTCTTGGCTGTGTTCACAGAGCAGGAGGGGCCACCAGGCTGAGCAAACACCATGCTCTTGGCACTTGCAGAACCCTCTTCCCACTAGCCAGGAAGACAGGGTTTCGAGCTTAGTCAGGCCATAGACACAGAACAGAGGACAAAGTGAACAGAAAGGGTGGGGTTCCTCAGAGGATAGAGGGACCAAAGTGAGCAAGGCCACTGTTTGATGACCTGGGCAGTAGAGGAAGGTGCTTTGAAGAAGTGTACATAGTCACCTGGTGTCCAATTGATGTCCGCTGCCTGTTCTTTCTCTGTCCACCCCCTACCTACTATGGCTTCTGAATTTGCTGGGGGCAGAGTAAATGCCTGGAGCATGGTGAAGAGGCCCTGTTCATATTGAGTCTCAGCTTTCTGTGTGGTAGACACTATCCTATGCAGCTTTATGTAATAATAGCTAACATTTTTCTACTGCATTTACTGTGCGCTGGACACTTCGTTCTAAGTGCTTCTCATGTAATCATTCATTCTGTCTTCACATGCATCCTTTCATGTAAATTGTTATTAACACCATTTTATGGATGAAGAAACTGAGGTCTAGAAACTTCAGGTAACACAGCCAAGGTCCCTAAGTGAATATGTGGCAGGACTGCAAGAGAGCTAGTAGGAAAGGCTAGGCTCCAAAGTCTGTATGTTGCATTCTTGACATTCTTCCACATCAGGCAGCCCCATTTCTCATCTCATTTTCACAGACCCCTTGCCAGGTGGGTGTTACTGTTATCCTCAGATGAGAAAATGGGGAATCAGAGAGGAGCAGTAAAGTAGCCTGCTGATGAGACCTAGAATTGTACGGCTCTCAGTCCTTCAATGCACTGTTCCCTGCCATAAGTGGAGTTTAGAGACATGGACTGTAGACACGACTCTGGCTTTCCTCCGACAGAGGTTCCCTCTTACAATTACCTCCTGATTTTTTTTGCCACCGTGTCTTTCTGCTAAGCCTCTGATTAGCTGGAGCCAAGCCATGTCTGCAGTCTGGCTCCTATGTTTTCATTCTTTCTGTTTCTGTTCACAGAGTCCCCTTTTTCTCTCATTTTTGTGAGTCTCTTGTCCTCAGACCATGCGTGAGTTAGCCTAGCCTTGGGCTGCCATCATCAGCCCACCCAGGCCTCTGTGATTTGACTAATGCTCTTCCCTCCTCTTTGGTTGAAGTTTTAAGGTTGAATTAGCTGACACCTCTCCTATGTTTATTTGCTGGTCCTTCATTTTTTAAAGAAAGATTCTGTTTTATGTGTGTGGCTTTTTTGCCTGCATGTGTGTATGTGCA